TCGATACAATGGAACATCTCATAATACATCTTCCGTATGAGGCTTTGACTGCTGGGCCCGTCTTCTATCGGTGGATGTACAGATTTGAAAGGTTAGTCACAATTTCATTTAAAAAAAATATTTAATTCACAATAACTGTTAACATGTTTATTATTGCATTATTGCAGATTTCTAGGAGAGCTGAAAAAGAAAGTGACCAACAAGGCACACGTTGAGGCTTCAATTTGTCAAGCGTATCTTCAACAAGAAATCTCAACGTTCTCGTCTTTTTACTTCGAGCGTGACGTCATCACCAGAAGGAAGAGACCTGCCCGGAACGATGACATTGGCGAGGATTTATATGAAAATGTAGTTTCCATCTTCAATTACCCAGGCAGAGGTAAAGGTGCTGCGACACAACGATACATCCTGGGTGGGGAATTGCAAATTGCGCATACTTATATCCTCATGAATTGTCCAGAAATCTCACCGTTTTATCAGTAAGTTAAATTTGTAGTTATAATTGTAATACCTATAAATTAAATTTGTAGTTAATTTATAGTTGTTTTTTTATTTTTGACTTCACAGTGAATTCCGAGCTTCTTTATCAGCCTTTTCTGAGAATGAAATTGATGCGTTAGTGGACTCTGATTTTGTAAATTGGTACAAGTATCAGGTATATATATACACACATTAATTATATATATTACCTAATGTTTACCTAATGTTATTATTATGTTTATATTTACAGATCAATAGTCGTGGGATTGTCGACCCTTTGTTAGTATCATTAGCGTGGGGCCCAGGTGCCAGTGCCAAAGTGTGGCGGCAATATGTGATAAACGGTTACACATATCACACAGCCGATTACGGAGAGGGCCGACCAACAACGAACAGCGGGTTACGTGTCCCGACCATCGGTTATGATAACTCGGAAACCAATTTTTTTGGTGTCCTGCAGGAGATTCTGGAACTTGAGATGCCTTCTGGTGCGAAAAAATTCACATGCGTTCTGTTCCGTTGCACATGGGTCGACCCCACACGTGGCGTGCGCAAAAATCCGAAGTATAATATGATTGACATCAACCTCTCTCATGTGTACCCGAAAAATGAGCCTTTCATACTCGCCCAACAAGCAGCGCAAATTTATTATGCAGAATATCCTTCAACAAGGCGGACACAGAATCCTTGGGTGTGTGCATGTCCTGTCCGTCCGAACAAAATAAAATCACAAACTCAACACAAGGACGTTGATCTAGATGCTTTTCAGCAACAATTTTTCCAACCTCCGCCTATTGTTGAGACGGTCAACTATAACGTCCAATTAAGTGATCCAAATGGCGGACGTGTTGAAGTCATGCCAGAAACGCACCTTCCGGACCTAACCATTCCATCTGAGCGCGAAATTGAGGAAATGTATGTAGCACAACCAAATGCTCAATATCAGGAAGAAGGTGAATGGATAGACGGTTCAGATACAGAAGAAGACACTATATATGTAGAAAATAACGATTCTGACAGCGAGTAATTGTGCTGTTGTAATTTCAATTTTGTGATATGATTTCTCCAAGCATATTTGATAATTTCTTTCATCATTATTGTTTGTAAAATAATTACTCCTTAATCTGTTCTATACCACATAAATTCAAAGCAGTTTATTTAATACTCCACAGTCCACACTACAATTACGATGGTATTAATAGTTATTCATATAATTACAATAGTAATAATAATAATAATAATAATGTTAATAATTATATTAACATTATTTATAATATTATAATAGTAATATAAACACAATTAATATTATTATAACGATATAATAATAATAATAATAATAATAATAATAATAATAATAATAATAATAATAATAATAATAATAATAATAATAATAATAATAAGAATAATAATTATTATTATTATTATTATTATTAAATCATGTCTGAATTTTTCTGATCTGATCTGATTTGAATAAAATAAGAATAAACAATAAGTAATAACTAACACAAAGACGAACAGAACAACACCTTATTCATTTTTCGGTTCAATAAGTTGTGTACATAGTTTCAGACGACACATTCTTGTACGCATCATATCTCAGTCAATTGGTTCTTTATTAGTCATTTTTTAGCATAAAATGCTTGGGTGGCAGGAAAATGAAATTATAAATTTAATAGTCACGGTTGTAGTCACGGTCAGGACCGTGACTACACCCTTCGTAAATGCCGAAGTCAGGCCTGACGGTCAGAGGGGCGCTGACCACAATAGTCACGGTCACTGCCGTGATTATGACCGTGACTACTTTCAAATTTTAAAAACAGTCACGGTTATAGTCACGGCTTTGACCGTGACTATTGTGGTCAGAGCGGCTCTGACCGCCTCGCTGACATCGTCAATTACGAAGGGTTTAGTCACGGTCCTGACTGTGACTATGACCGTGACTAAACAATTATATAAAACAAACACTTAGCGTTTTTTTTAAAACCTACGCACCCAAACTCCCAAACCCTAACTTCCTCTTCCTTCTCTCTTCCCTCTCTTCCAGTTTAGATAGTGCCGCCGTCGCCGCCAGCCGTCGCCGCCTAGCCGTCGCCGCCTAGCCATCCGCCGTCACCGTCTAGCCTTCCGCCGTCGTCCTCCGGCCGCCTTCGTCCTCCGGCCGCCTTCGTCCACCTTCTTCCGTCGGCCCTTCTTCAGTCAAGGTTATGTGTTCTGTTCATCTTATTTTGTAATATTTGATTAAAATTCCAAAAATGCATGATTGTATACTCAAATGCATGATAAGATGCATGATTTTTAGTTTCATATCATTTTGTAATCTTCAAAAGTTGTATGTATGATTTATTATATGCATGATTTGTAGTTTTGCATGATAATTTCGTTTTATATGTTTCGAATGCATGATTAATATATGTTCAAATGTAGATTATTTTATGTTTAATATATGTTCATATGCATGATTAATATATTTTCGAACTAATGCGTGCTTATACAATTAGTATCATGTTTAACATATATGTTTGGTGTTTGATTTGCATGCCTCTCTATACATATGCACTACTTTAAATTTAATTTCCGAAAATATTTAATTTAGGTTAATATTTAAAAAAAATGTTTAAATAAATAGCCCCTCGTGTTAAATTTCCAAAAATAGTTTAACACGTTTAAATATAATTTTCGTAATATCCATTAACAAAATATTAAACATTTAAATTTAATCCCGAAAAAAACTGGACGAAACACTGTTTTTTATAATAGTATAAACATAAAAAATTATTTTTATTTTTTATATTATAAACTGTTTTTAGATAAACTGTTTTTCCAAAAACTGTTTTTATACAAACTGTTTTTATATAAACTGTTTTTTATAATTTATCTAAAAAAATTTGTTTTTATAAAAACTGTTAATTAAAAACTGTTTTATTAAACAGATTTCTGTAAAAAACAGTTTTTATAAAAACTGTTTTAATAAAAAGTGTTTTTATAAAAACTGTTTTTATAAAAACTGTTTTTATAAAAACTGTGTTTATAAAAACTGTTTTTATACAAACTGTTTTTATATAAACTGTTTTTTTAATTAATCTAAAAAAAACTGTTTTTATAAAAACTGTTCTTATAAAAACTGTTAATTAAAAACTGTTTTATTAAACAGATTTTTGTAAAAAATAGTTTTAATAAAAACTGTTTTAATAAAAACTGTTTTTATACAAACTGTTTTAATATAAACTGTTTTTATAATTTAGCTAAAAAACTGTTTTTACAAAAATTTATATATATAAACTGTTTTATATAAAATGTTTTATTAAACAGATTTTTGTAAAAAACAGATTTTTGTAAAAAAACTGTTTTTACAAAAACTTATATATAAAAACTGTTTTAATAAAAAGTGTTTTTATAAAAACTGTATTTATAATAACTGTTTTTATAAAAACTGTTTTAATAAAAACTGTTTTAATAACAACTGTTTTAAAAACTCTTTTATTAAACAGATTATTGTTAAAAATAGTTTTTTGTAAAACTTGATTTAACAAACTGTTTTAAATTTATTTTAAAATGATATATCTAAAACATAAAAAAATGATCTCCTCTCATGTAAACTTTGCAAAAAGTTTAACATGTTACCTCCAAGGGCAATTTATTGCCAAATTATAGAAGAACTTATTGGGAAAAAATATGGACCCCTCATATTAAACTAATAGATAGTTTAATATGCTATAGAAGAACTTATTATGAAAAAATATGGACCCCTCATGTTACCTCCAAGGGCAATTTATGATAATACTTGTATAAATTTTTATAGTGAAAAATAATAAATATACCCCAAACTTTGAAAGGGTGTGAGGTTAAGCACCCCAAACTTGCATAAGTAATTTAAACACCCCAAACTTTATATAAAGTTTGGGATATTTAAATTACATATGAAAGTTTGTGGTGCTCTTGTCACATCCCTTCAAAGTTTGGGGTATTTTTATTATTTTTCCCTATAAAAATTTAATAAACTGTGTATAAGTTTAATATGAGTGGTTCAATAATTTCTAATAAACTCATCCTATAATTTATCAATGAGTTGACCCAGTCGATCGAAGAATCGATCAGTTGGAGCTTGTCAATGAGTTGACCTAGTCAATTCTTAGATAAGCTCCAATCTGTCGATTCTTCTGGCTACGGCTTGAGTCATCGATGGACTCTCTCAAACGCATGTACTGACATTATGTCGCTACATGTGATGTAGCCCATCCATGGTTCAAGGAGTAGCCTGAAGAATCGTCAGGATGGAGTTTATCAATGAATCGACTGGGTCAACTCATTGATGAGCTCCAACCGGTTGATTCTTCGGTCGACTGTGTCAACTCATTAATAATTATAGGATTTGTTTATTAGCAATTATTGGAACCTGATATTAAACTTATATACATTGACAATTGACAATACTTACATAAAAATTTGATCTTCTATTATAAGCGTTCTAACAAAAAACAAAATAAATTAATATATTTTAGATGAGCAACGAACAATCGACTTCGGCTCCCCGCCCTAACTATGCGCCCATGTCCGAAGCGGAGCGCAACAACGAAGGAGCTGTTTGGGTGACCCCTGCAGAAGTTCTTTTGTAAGTAGTTATGAAGAAACCTTATTTTCAATAATTTTATATAATGTTAAATAATCTAACCACATCTTATATAAATAAATACTATTAATTTTTTAAGTGACGAAGAAGTGTTCAAAGGCATCAAAAGCATAATCGGAGGACACTTTCTTGGCACTTGGGCCACGTACTCGGATGTTGACCCCAAGGTTCGCGAACTATGGTGGAACCTGTTCAAGGTAAAAATAAATGAATGTTCCCTCCCTGATTGTATTGGCCTAATATATACCTACTGATTAATTAATCCAATTTGTTTTAATAAAGGGTCGCTATCGTTGGACTCACGCAAACGGTGCCGATATTCTCAAAGCCTACAATGCTAGGATTTCGTCCTGGCTTCGCGCCACTTTTAAACGTGCGCGAAAAAGTTCGAAAAAGCCTAAATGGGTTTCGGATGAAGTGTGGTCCAACCTTTGTCGCCACTGGTCTTCTGATCCGAAATTCTTGGCCAGAAGTGAATCCGGTAAGAAAAACCGGATGTCCGAGAAGGCCTTGGAGATGCAGTGGCACGGGGGTCGCAAATCTCAGAATGCCCATAAAGAAACTCTTGTAAGTGCTATTCAAAAAACCTTACACCATCACAATCCTTCATTATAAAAAATTTACTTAAGTCTTTTTCACACCATTTAGGCTGGTCCTGAGAAGAAGAGGGTTCGTGTTCTCCGGCTCGTCAAGCATTGCTGGACGAAGCACGGCGAGGAATCTGAAGCCGATCTGCCACCCCGCCTCGCTGACTTCGAAGTATGTGGCATCATATTTTGTTATTTAGTAACATATCAAATCTAAGTATGTAGCATTTAAAAAATATTTTTTGAAAATGCAGACGAAGTACAACGAATCCGTTGACAGGCAGCGTGCGGCACGAGGCTTGACCCAAGAAGACGACCTCGATTCCGATGCGGATGATGAGGCGGCCATTGAGGCGGCCGGGGTTTACAAGGGCCGGGTTCCGTGCTTGGGGGCCGAGGGGCAACGGATTTTGTATGATCGAAGCACCGGCGCTTCCTCTTCTCGGTCAAGGCGGGGAGAAGATCCTCGTATTGCTACACTGCAGCGTGAACTGGAGGAGCATGAACGGCGATGGGAGGAGCAGCGGAAAGCAGATGAGGCCACAAAAGCCCGGTTGGAGGAGATGGAACGGTACATGCGTGCCGGATTCCAGCCTCCGCAACAGCCTTTTCCTCCCCCGTACGTCTTCCACCCTGAGCAAACTCCTCAAGTTCCGCACATGGGCGGTATGGGATTTTTCCCCAACTCCGGATATGGTGGCATGCCTATGATCTCCCCGAATTTCGGATCTATGTCCTTTGATTTTGCAAGGTCATCCGGAGGAGGTAGTGGCACACTGAGCCATGGAGCCCGAGGAGCGCCCCGAGGAGCACCCCGAGGAGGAACCCGACCTGACTTCGAAGACCCCCCCGTGAACCCAGATGAGTTTTTTCTTGATGATGATGATGAAGAAGAAGAAGAAAATCCTAATTTTTTTCATAATGGAGTCCCACGAAGGGACATGTAATCATCATACATTTGTACTTTGTTGTTTGTCAAAACATTTAAAAGTTTGTCACAATATTTATTAAGTTTGTTGTATGTCTTTTAAATGTAATTTTAAATTTAAAAAACTAGAATAATATTTTCAATAACTCAATAGTATAAAAACATGGATAAAAATTAGAATAACATTTTTAAATTTAATTTGTAAAAATACGTATTAAAAAGTAATTTTTAAAAACAACTTTAAAAAAAATGTAATTTTTTTTTAAAAAACAAAAATAGTAGTCACGGCCTAATCCGTGACTACAGTTAATTCGAAATTATTATTTGTTTTTAATAAAAAACATTATTTTTTTTTAAAAAAAATAGCTTAGTCACGGTCGACAACCGTGACTAATTTCAAAAATTTAGATTAAACCCGCGGGCGGTCTTTTGAAAATTTTGAAAATTTGAAAAATTAGTCACGGCCCACAGCCGTGACTAATGTTTATTTTTAAAAAAAAAAATTAGTCACGGTCACAAGCCGTGACTAACACGTCGGAGTGGGGTTTCCGGCATGAAAATAGTCACGGTCCATGACCGTGACTAATCCGTGACTAAATTTAGTCACGGTTATGTGGCGGTGACGTCATTTAGTCACGCCAATTAAGACACGGATTTCGTCACGGCGGATGACCGTGACTAACCTTTTTAGTCACGGAATTTTTACACTGCAGTCCGTGACTAAATCCGTGACTACGCCCGTGTTTTTTTGTAGTGTTATAATCACATGATAATATTAATATTAATAGCAATAATAGTAATGACACTATAAAAACGTAGTAACTTTTAAAAGGTCATTTATACTAAATCAGAAGTATCACACAAAATAGGGGTAGTAAACCAAACAAATAATTCTGATTCTATTTGCGATCTGGTATCAAAAACTATTATTTGAATTTGAAAATATAGAATATGAATACATATGCAAATTGGATTTTCGGTTCTAACATCTTTCAAATAAGAATAGAAATAATTATATATTCGATTCGAAGAATAATCCAATATATTTGTTTGTACATGTAAACCATATATCTAATGGTCTTTTTATAATCAACTATGTTAAATATCTAACATAAAATCAGAGTTGTTTGTACTTTGATATAATTATCAACTTATTTCACACACTATAGAAATAATTTCTACTGCAGTATGTGCGTGTTAGTGTTTATTTCAAAATTGATTGAACTTGCTATATTGTGCACAACCAAAAAACGTATTGATCCATTAAATTTTAAAGATAAATCTAATGTTAGAAATTAAATTTTAAAAACATTTAGTCATAGCATACATTTATAACATAAAAAATATGGAAAAAGTTGTTTCAAAGTGATATTTGACTAATATTAAACTTATGATCAAAATTGATTCGATATTCGTATATGATTCGTTAATTATTCATATTGTTAAACAAATACAAATACAAATTGAAATTAATACAGGATTAATTTTATATTCCAATTCGGATTCGTATTTGAAAAAATCAAACAAATACGAATACAAATATCACATTTTCCCACTCATTCTGGTTCGTTTACAATACTAACGAATGCATCAAATGTGTTCCATGGATTTTTTTTAATTAATATACTTGAATTTTGGGTTTTAAATTTGCTTCCTTATTACAATGGGGCCCCCAAGTAACAATAACATACGCTATTGCACTAATTATTAGGAGTAATAGCCCTAACAAATACGAAGTATTCCGTAAAAGGTTTGGAGAAGGGGCCCAAAAAATACACAACAGACTATTGAAATGCTCTATTTTGATAACATTTTATTTATTAATATATGAAACAAAAATTGAAAAACATTGTTAAATTCGTCTCATTATAAATTTTTAAATTTTTTTACTAATGGACAATTAAATATAATGACAGATCGTGCATTGAAAAAGAATTGAGTATACCGTATACGACATAATTATAGGTTAATCGAATTGGAATTTTCTTTTCGTGATCATTGCAATTGTACATCTCAAAGACTCATACCATTAGTGCTGCCATACAATTGCTAATGTTCTTCAAATGGAATCTACAATAAGGATGTAAAAGGCAATTATAAAAGAGTGTTATTCACAAATTAACGAATTAATAAATGAGTAAGGAAAACGAAATCATTAATAGTGAAACTTATTATCAAATGAATACTTATGAAGGAGGTGTAACTCAAACATTAAGTTTTAAACCAGACACTTATCACAGAATACAAGATGAAAAAGAAGAACTAATTGTAAAGAAAATTTTTAAAACAAAATGGTTTGAAAGAAATAAAGAAATCAGGTATATAGCACAAAAACATGACAATATAATAGACATAACTACGATAAATGGAAAAGCAAAAATATCATTAATAACAGCCGAAATAATAAAAAGGGAATTATCAAAATTACCAACAAAAGAATCAAAGAAGCTAAAAAATATATATTTTGGAGGAATAGAATTTACTATAAAAGCATATTTTCAGAAAAATATAGACACCCCTATACAAATTTATGTTGTAGATGATAGAATATTAGGAAATTTACAAGACGCTCTTATTTCGGTTATAAAAGGAAATTTGATTTATCAAAAACTAAAATTTACAGTACAGTCAGATTTTAGCATATCAGTAGCAGATAAACATAAAGAATTAGCATTGACGTTATATTACAAATTAGATGGAATAATAATGCCACCAGGAAGTAAAGTAATAAGTATAGAAACAAAAATAGTATATGCTTTAACAGGAAATCATCATATTAAAAACAGAATGAAAATAATATATTAATACCAAATTTGTATCAAGAAATACTAGAACAAATAGAACACAAAGATAATTCTAGAATAACAATACCAGAAGAAATATGTATAGATTTTGAAAGTAGACAAATAAGACCATCAAAAAAAATAATACCACAAATAGAAGGATCAAGAATAAGTTTTAAAAAAGAAATAACAAGGTTAGATTCAAATATTAGAGAACCAAGAAAATTGGACTTGATAAATAAACCATGTAGTGAATTTGATAAGCTAAAGATAAAAACTATAATATTTAATGGAGCAATAACAATGGAATGTATAACTGACATAAATATCGATGCAACAAAGAGCTTATGTCACGCCCCGGCCTGGCCGGACGCGCTAACAACCGCCGCATAATCCGATTAAGGCAACCGCAGTTCGCCCTACTCGAACCATGCAAGGCGTACATGAATACCATTCACACTAGTACATCCATAAACAATTATAAATAAAGCATTTCAAATATACGCAGCGGAATACAAATACTTTGAAAAAGTCAAAGGCCACACAGGGCGAACATGAGCACGCAGGCTCCCGAATCATTTATAAATTAAAATAGTTCCATGAGCATTATTTTATTTGTATCAAAATAGAACTGGAAGAAGCACGAACCACGTCTTCTCTCCATGGATCACCCGAAGCAACGGGAACAGGAAGCAAGCTCTAGCTTCTACCTGAAACTGTGAGGTGGCCTCCCCCGTGAAGGGGAGGTCAGTACTTGGAAGCATTTGACAAGTACAATGACAACTATACTGAATATAATTCATGTTTCAAACACAAGACCCTCAAAATAGGGTGATACTATATTATAGGCATAACCTACAGCTACCCCATTTCAAATCACTTGTATAGAATATATATACCAAGTCAAATAGCCGACCCGTAGGTCCATTTGTATTTCAAAACAATTCCCATTGTATAGCCCTTGGCCTATTCTTGCATATAGCAATATCGAGAGGTTATCCCACCCCTAGTCTAAACCCAACTCCATCGAGAGGGTTACACAATTTATCATTTGTACCCGTCCACGTTGGACTTACCCACCCTACGGGTGTATTCATTCATTTTGGGCTTACACCCCCAGTATAATATCTTTGATTCATTTAGGGCTTACACACCCCGTATATTCTTAGTTTGTGTAGGGCTTACACACCCCGTATAATACTTTACTCATTTAGGGCTTACACACCCCGCGTAATACTTTACTCATTTAGGGCTTACACACCCCGCGTAA